TAAGAAAGAAATTGAGCAGGATTACAATTACTTATCCTCATTATGGCAGAGCATTCAAAAAAATGCCTTCTCTGTAAATGCTCCGTCATTAATTTACAACGAAGCAGATGTAATTATGAGATCTGTTCGTGATTTTTGTAGCGATGGTATAGAAGTCATAGTATCTGGGAAGGAAGCTTTTGAAGCAGTGAGACAATATACTAAAAATGCATTAAAAGGTAGTAAGTTGCGTTACAGATTGTATAGAGGTTCTATCCCAATCTTTACTTACTATGGAATCGAAGATCAAATTTCTGAGTTATATAGCAATAGGGTAGAGTTGCCATCTGGTGGGTCTTTGGTAATAACTTTAACTGAGGCGTTTGTTTCAATAGACGTAAATTCAGGAAAGATGACAGGAGAAGATAGCATAGAAGAAACAGCTTATAGAACCAATATGGAAGCAGTACCTGAAATATCAAGACAGGTGAATCTTAGGGGCCTATCAGGATTAATAGTAGTCGATTTTATTGACATGTTGAAATATCAGTATTGCAGAGCTGTTGAGTCTGCTATAAAGCAAGCGTTTAAAGACGATAAAGCTAAAGTTCAATTTAGCTACATAAATGACTTTGGTTTAATGGTATTTTCAAGACAAAGAATTAAACCAAACATACAAGAAATTAATACTACAGAGTGTTTACACTGCAAGGGTATTGGAAGAGTAAAATCGAACGAAGTAATTGTTGCATCGATACTAAGGGATTTACAACACATTGCTCATAGGAACCAAAATAAGTCTTTTGATTTAGTAGCGCATAGTGCGGTTATAGCACATATTTTTAATAATAAACGGAATACAGTTTCTACAATCGAAAAAGAGTTTAATATTACATTGAACATTAGTATTGATAACAGTTTAGATGTAAATACATTTGTTTTAAAACAAGGAGATGATGTTAATTCAAACGGTTATAAGCCATTACAGAACTCTGGATACCAAATTGAGGATAGCAGCAATGAAGAAGTTGATAATTCAAATAAACTACGAGGCAATTTTTGGCTGACTAAATGGCTTTCGCGCTTTTTAAGTTCTAATAACTAATTAGAGACCCTAAATTGGGCTTGTAATTAATAAGTCCTATACTTATATATTCTTATATCAGGTAATATTTACAATAGGGTACTCATTATGGGAAGAGCAATAGGCATAGATCTCGGAACAACAAATTCTTGTGTTGCAATAATGCAGGGCAAGGATACAAAGGTAATAGAAAATAAAGAAGGGGCAAGAACTACTCCATCTATAGTTGCATTTACTTCGTCAGGAGAAAGGTTGATTGGCGCTCCAGCAAAAAGGCAAGCAACCACCAATGCAAGTAATACCTTTTTTGCTACTAAGAGATTAATAGGCCGTCAATACGGTGATTCTGAAATGAAAAATCTAAACGTGCCGTATAAAGTGTTTGCAGCAAAAAATGGTGACGCATGGGTTAAAACCACTGATAATAAAGAATACTCTCCTAGTCAAATTGGTGCATTCATACTACAAAACATGAAAGAAGCAGCAGAAGCTTATCTTGGAGAGGAAGTAAAAGATGCTGTGATAACAGTGCCAGCATACTTCAACGACTCTCAACGTCAAGCAACAAAAGATGCAGGAAAAATCGCCGGATTAAATGTGCTCAGAATAGTAAATGAACCGACTGCTGCAGCGCTTGCTTATGGTCTTGATAAGAAACATGGGCACACAATAGTGGTATATGACCTTGGTGGTGGTACATTTGATGTCTCAATACTTGAAATAGGTGAAGGGGTTTTTGAAGTAAAGGCTACAAATGGTGACACTCATCTTGGAGGTGAAGACTTTGATAACGCAATAGTGAGTTATTTACTAGATGAATTCAAGAAAAGTAATGGCATTGATTTGAAAAATGATCCAATGGCTATGCAAAGAATCAAAGAAGCTGCTGAAAAAGCGAAAATTGAATTATCAAGTGCAATGGAAACGGAAATAAATCTACCGTTTATTACAGCTGATGCAAGTGGTCCAAAACACTTGAATATGAAATTAACGAGAGCAAAACTTGAAAGCTTAGTGAATGGTTTAATCGAAAGAACTATGGCTCCTTGTAAAAAAGCTCTTGAGGATGCTGGTTTGTCTGCTAGTCAAATTGGCGAAGTGGTTCTCGTTGGTGGCATGACTCGTATGCCAAAAGTCATAGAGAAAGTTAAAGAATTCTT